CCAAAATCAATGTCTACATTTGCCCACGTGACGATTTGATTTAATATAGACTCTGTCGCGTTGTGTGTAGGATTATAGTCAAACAAAAATTGGCACCGAACCGACAGGGCCTAACCCTAAAATAAACTCATTATGAACATAGGTATAATTTAAAATGTACTTATGTATATATGTGGATATGCGGGATAATTGTCTACTGATGTTTCAACAGTTTACCCATCGTCCACCGCAGCGACGCACACGGAGTTTGCATTTGTCGCGTCTTCCCCCCCCCCCTCTTTTTACGATGAAACAGAGTTCCCCGTAATTCATACCGAGTGCCAAATTAACATCTGGCAAATTCGAAAGCATTCGTTTTAACAAGCCTGATGACTCTGCCGATGAGATCCAGAAGGTCGAACCCGGCCCAAAGTGTGGCTCACCTAACCAAAGTTAGATTTTTTTTATAGAATTGGTCGACATAGCCAATAGGCAGAGAGACTTAAAAAAAATAAACGAACGATGCTTCCGCTTACATATATTTTTAATGACAACAAATATCGCGATGCGTATTTACGAGATCATTTAACAATGTATGTTGCATCGCCGGTCCGATTATTTCGGATACAAGCATATATATATATATATACACACACACAAAACAGAACGTTATTTTCTTTTTAACTATCTAGTAAAGAGCTTCTCAATAAGCTTCAATAATCGTGATGGAACGAGTTTTACCTGCGGCCAGCTTGTTCATTTTGCTCAATGCGTGTTTTGGTTGTCTCCGTCGTTGTTGTAAATGACACGCGGAAATGCAGAGTTCGATATTCATATTCTTAGGTTTTTTCGGTAAAGTCACGTGGCGGCTGTAAACAATTAAAAACTACATCTCAACAATAATAATAATAACCATCATAATAACAATACAAAGTCAGCCGCCCTATTGTGATTACATGGGTGATGTAACAGCAGGGTCAACACATCACACGTGCTTGCCCGTACACACGCGCGCGCGATTATATTTCGTTGTTTTTTTTTATAAAAAAGACGTCACAAGGCATCGCGCGCGCTCCGGTGACAACATCGTGCCCTCATCGACACGGACGGACGAGTGTGACAGCGTCTGTCAGCTGTCCATGTCAGTAGCCGGCCATGCGCACACACGGCATCGTGAAATAACGACGACAACAACAATCACGACGACAACAACAATAACAACAACAACGGCGACGGCGTGTGTTCTCGTGACACGACACCATGGTGATTTCGCCATTTCAGGTCCAAATGCCTTCACGACGACATTTGACTCGGGGCATGGCGCCTAACGGCTCATGACGCCCGAACACGTGATGCCCTATCGTGTAATACTGCACCGTTCACCTTAATTCATTCATGCGTGTAGTTGTTGTTGTGTGTGTGTATGTTAAAGGCACACGTAGATATTGGCGACCGGGCGCGGTGCTGGCCACCCCACGCGCCCCCTCGTGTGCCGACCCTTCATTCGGTGCTATTCGCCAACAGCACTTGCCCCCAAGGCTATAAGGGGGGGATCTTTGTCTTTGTATGCTAAACGAACATTCGCGTTCGCGATGAACGGGAGATGCATCTAAACCTGGCATTCGCAGGCAACTGCTTTGCCATCAGCAGGCGCGCATGTGCCATGTGTACACCAAATCGACACGTGCGCATTATCACTGCGAAGTCACCACGTACGGGCCTCTGTGTGTGTGTGTGGGCAGAGCGGGCCTGTTTATGGATTATATTGCGGAGATGACTTCTCTTTCCGGGCCTGAGGGTGGTGAGGGTGTGGTGGTGGTGGGGGAGTCTTGGATGGGCGGGCGGAGTAGAAGGGAAGGGGGGGAAGGTGGAGGGGAGGGAAGAGCCCAGGGCTTCGCTCGAGCGCAAAATGGCCGCGTCCCGTCGCCCTGAGGTGTCGGCGGCGGTGGCGGTGGAGGAAGCTCCCCCTGGAAGCCGCGATGGAGTTTGGCAGCGACCGCGACCGTTGGCAGAGGGAGGCGTGGAGCGAGAGGCAGGGGCGCATTGCCGGGCTGGGAGGGGGGGGCGGTAGCTGAGCGGAGGTTGTTGAGCTGATGAGCGGGGTGGTGAAAAAGGGGGCGTAAAAAATATTTTATATATAAAAAAGGTCGTTCCACCCACATAACCGTTGTTACGTTCATATTAAAAATCTAATTCAAAGTACATTCCTTAAAGACGGGTCGTAAGACTTTAATATAACATCATTTTAACAAGGTGAGAAGCACATTGCATGTGTTAGCAAATTCATAGATGGCCCAGGAGTAGGAGGGCTTGTGTTCACAATAATGGGGGTTGGAAACACATAATGCGATGATTGCAAGTCGGCGAATTTCGGATTTTCTTGAGTCTATCCCACCCCGCGCGTGTGTTGTGTGTTGTGTGCAATTGTAACATTGCAACGTTGTGCCGTGTTTACGTTCGGTGTAACTTTGCACTGTCGTGTCACGGTGTGTTGGGCACGTATTCTGATGTGATGATACGGAACCACAAAATGTAATATTTGTGAGAATCGTGGTGATAGGAGCTTTAGGTGCGTACTCAATTATTTCAGGTTTTTGTCCAATTGATAATTTTATCTATTAAATATATAACGTATTTATTTTTTGTATACATGTATCGTTTATTGTTATTGTTTGTTCGTGACGGTTTTTCGTACGGCGTGACGGCATGAACCCCACGCAGTGAACTTCTTACGGAGTTGTGAAAGCAATCGGCTGAAAACAATTTGTGAGTGAGCGAGCGAGTAACCGTGGACGATCGCATTCGCCAAGAGAACGCGAGCTTGTGTCAGGCCAAACTTGAACGGTTTCTTTGAAATAAAAAAAAAACTGTTGATGAATTTAAAATATATATGAGCAACAAGACCTGGGACTAGTCAGATGATAAGCGTATTGGTAATACAAGACAAAAATCCCCCCCGGTTAGAATTAACAAACTGTTGGGGCAAGTGCTGTTAGCGAGCACCTATCGGCGCCGAGGGAATGGTTGGCAAGCACCACTCCTGACCCTCTTTGTTACTCCAGTGGCGATGTTTACACACACACACACACACCGAACCAGGTACTGATGTCAGGCCGAGTTGACCTAGGGGAGGCCCAGGACCGGTTGTGATTATCATCACTGATGTTGGCCCGCGAGTGCTCTAGTCGCCGGGTTCGTAGCGCAGCGCGCTAACCATTACACTACCCATACACATATACACACGACTGCATCGCATGTAACAATTGTGTGTGTGTGTGTAAAAAGATAACTCTGCCGCGTAACACATTTTCCGTACGTTTCGTAATTCTATTATGCGCCGTCATGCCCCGGTGACAATGGCGAGGTAACGGGTTGTCGATCGGTGCTTCCACGCTCGCGTGAATTTGTCGTGGACTCGCCGCGGCTACTTTCGGCTGCCCGCAACCACTGCCCCCCCCCCCCACGTCTCGTGAGAGCGCCCGACTCACGCGGGATTATATTTCTACAGTCCATCCAAGTCCCTGCCCCGGTAACGCCGAGCGCCGCTCTAAATGCCGAGCAGATAGAGAGCGAGCGAGGGAGGGAGCGAGAGAGGAGAGCGAGGTTTGTGAGTCACGATGAGAGAGAGAGAGAGGGGGGGTGGGATGGGACATTCCCGGTCGTGTACGCACCGTGAGTGGTGCGAGTGATGTGTGGGTATATATATATGTGTGTGTGTGTGGGAATACAGTATAAATAGGAGAGAGAGAGAGAGAGGAGAGACAGAGGGATATTCATAGAACATGAACGAGGTCGTCGCTGTGACACCGACGGTTGTTCGGGCATCGTCCAAGATTCCCTCCTCTCTGGGGTCCCGTCACGGGGTCCATCCCTTCTTCCCCTCCCCACCTTCAGTCGTTCTCTCTCTCTCAGCCTCTGTTGCCCCCCCCCCCCACCTTCCGTGCCCCCCCCCCCCGCCTTTTCCGCGCGTTGTGGTGTTCGGGGTTAATTTGTGGGCGGGTATGGATGAAGCAATCGCGTTTTCCTAGATATTGGCCATTCGCAATGCGTATCCACGAGGGACGGCGCAAAGTTTCGGCCCGCTCGACATGAACGAGCGAGTTCTGTGCACGAGTCGTGATCATTGCGTTGATTGTTGTTGTTGATTGTTGTTGTTGATTGTTGTCGTAGCTGCTGCTGCGTCGCAGCCTCCAAATGATTGCTCTCTCTGTACATGACATCTTTGAATCGTGAGATCGTATCATCATCATTGTGGTCGTCGTCTTCATCGCTTATTTTTAAATATACACGCGTCATTTTGTTTAAAATCGCAATGAAAGCGCGGCCACCGTCACAACGCCGGTGTTTTGGTTTCATCCTCCTCGAGACGTCTTGACCCCCCCCTCTCTCTCTCTCTCACCTCTCGCGGACCGTATGGATTCATAATTAGGTGGCACACTGACACACGCGCAGCGTTTTAATGTATTCCACACCGTGATTTGTGCGCGGGCGTATATAATAACGTGGGCGCTCTGCCCCGTATGCAAATTTCGTGTGCACAACAACACGCGCGCACACAGACGCGCAAACGTCCACGCAACGCACACGCACAAATACTAAGGTGCCCCGTATAGCCCGACCAGACCTTTTGGGGCAAGTTGCTGTTAGCGAGCACCAAATGAAGGACCGGAACGGCACACGAGGCCGTGGGTGGCCAGGACCACGCTCGGCCGCCTTTGTCTCCCGAGAGGCTTTGTTTTACGCACCGCACCAGGTACTCATCCGAGGATGAGTCGACCTAGGAAGAGGAGGAGGAGGTGGGGGGGGGGGTCCATGGTTCGGACATTCGCCACCGTTATTGTTCATGAACGGGAATCGAACTCGTCTCGCCGGGTTTTCCTAGCCGCACGCAACACACAGCACGCGGACGCGCGCGCACGCGGGGGGGGAGGGTTGGAGCCGCATGCCCCCTCCCCTCCCCGTGCGTTTTTGGGGGCTCGCGCAGCTGATTTCGCATGCGCGCATCCCCTCTGATGGTGGAGGCTCTCACACGTGTGTCGCCCGCGACCAATGGGAGCGCGCGGCGCCTTCAAAACACGCGGCCCGGTGTTGGCGGGGAGGAGCGCCGCCGCCGCCGATGCAGTCGCGCCCGGCCGCTATTGGGTCGCGCGCGCGCCCGCAACAGTAGCAGCAACAGCAGCCGCACGAGCAGCAGCAGCGGCGGCAGCGGCGGTAGCAGCAAGAGGAGCAGCAGCAGCAGCCGCGCCGCGCTGGGCAGCTCGGCTGTCATGATGTCCGCGTCAAAGGGGAGCCAGGGCCGCTACTTCGTGGACTCCCTGGTGAGGCACGACGGCGACGAGCTGATGGCGCCGCTTCACGACGCCCCCTTCCAGCTGCCCAAGCCCGCGGCGGGGCTGAGCGCGGAGTACCCCGCGTGCAGCTTCCAGCCCAAGCCCCCCGCCATGTACCAGGCGTCGTGGCCGCACCATCACGTGCACACGCAGCTCAACGTGTACGCGTCGCCGACGGCGGTAGCGCCCGAGAGCGCGTACGCGCGCTCGTGGCTCGAGTCGCTGGCCGGCGTCGGGGTCGGGGTGGGTGGCTCGCACGCGGCCTTCCCCCTGGCGGGCAGGCAGTGCGACGTGGCCCCGATGGGTGCTGAGGGGCCCGGCCTGGGCAGGTTTGACGCGGAGCCCATCCTGTACCGCGGCTTCGCTCCCGAGGCGCCGCTCGACGGAAGGGGCGTCGGAGGCGACCCGTGCACCGACACGAAACTGGGACCCCTCGACTCCAGTGCGGAAGAGAAACGTCAATTGGAAGCAAGTGAGTTGTGGCGCATCGCTACCTTTTGTTCGCTTCGGTGTGCGCTCTTTGTCTCGCGTCGCCGTGATTGTGTGTGTGGGGGGGGGGGTGGTTTTTTTTTGGTGTTTGCGACCGAACGGAGTTGCGGAGAGGACGGAGCTCTGCGCGCGGCCCTTTCCCTCGCTTTTGCCGCAATACCCCCCCACCACCACCACCACCCCCGCGAGGCAAAACACTCCTGTCGCCTTGAATTTTATGGCTCCGTTCGCATTTTTCGCGTTCACCCACCAAGCGGCGGCTCTTTAAAACGCCAAATTCGCCCTCGGTAGCAGCAACAGCAGCGTGCGTCTCGTGTGCCACTTGGGAGTGCTGATGATGATGCTGCCGATGCCGCTGCTGCTGCGTCTGACGAGTGCAGGAGGCCCGTGGCTTTGATCCCCGTCGCGGTGTGTCCGGGCAGGGGGGGGGCAGCCTTGTGTAGAATCCCACCACCCCCCCCCCCCCCCCATTAATGTTATGCTAATCGCCTTCTTGGGCATAAACCTTTGAGCCAAATTTTGCGTGCTCTTGCCCTGTGGGTGTAATGTAATCACTAATTAGTTTAAGCAGCGGCTGCAGGGCACATGTTCCGGAAAGAGTGGGGAGAGGGATGGATGGAGAGAGAGGTAGACAGAGAGGGAGACGAACACAACTGTGGGCTGTAGACGTAGAAATGGAAATGTATCGAGGGGTCATTGGCCGAGGGAGAGAATCGCGCACGAGGGGATACCGGGACTGGGATACAAACGGGAATAACTGACACAGAAATACACAACGACGTGAGAGAGAGAGATCGAGGAAAGGGCCTTTCTCTTGAAAATGTGAGACGGAGAAAGGGAAGCGGAGTGACGGTGAGACGTCAGAGACGGCGAGGAAGGGAGGTGAGGGGGGGGGGGTAGAATACAGAGAGCGAGGACACACGGGGAGAGAGATTAGAGGGCGGCTCACGGCCCGAGTCGTGAAGGGACGCCCGTGTGTGCGCGCGCGCGTGCCGGACCCGCCCTTGGCTCAGCCGCTGGCGCATCGTGCCGCTGTCGTCTTCCCCGCTGCGCTCTCCCCGTGGGGCCCGCTCAATATGAGAGGCGAAGCTCTCCGATAAGGGGGGGGGTAAGGGGTGGAAGGGGGGGGGTACCCACGAATCGCGAGCTCTGACCCGGCGCCGCGTGAACGCGCTCCGCGTGTCGCGTGCGCGCGTGGTTGCACATTCTACATGCGTGCGGTGTATCCCTCTCCCGACTGTCTACCCCGCCCCCTCTTTACCATATTCAACCCTGTCCCCCCGCCCGCCCGGGCCCGCCGGCCTGCCCGCCTGCCCGCCCGCCCTCCCTCCTGCTCGTCCGCGCCTTGCCGGCCTTCCCCTTCCGTTCCCGACCTCGGCCGGCACGCGGTATCCGCCGTCGCGCACTCGACCCTGCGGGGGCCACCACCACCACCCACCACCCCCCCCCCCCACTCGCACCCCCCCCCACCCCCCCCCCCCCCCACGGCAGGCGACCCCTCGGTGAACTGGCTGCACGCGCGCGCGGGCCGCAAGAAGCGCTGCCCCTACTCCAAGCAGCAGACCCTGGAGCTGGAGAAGGAGTTCCTCTTCAACATGTACCTGACGCGGGACCGCCGCTACGAGGTGGCACGCGGTCTCAACCTCACCGAGAGGCAAGTCAAAATCTGGTTCCAGAACCGGCGCATGAAGCTGAAAAAGATGAAGAAAGAGAAGAGCGCGGATCAGGGCTGACGTCTCGTTCTCTGCCCCCCCCCACCACCACCCCACCTCTCTTAACCCCCCCCCCTCAACTCGCCTCCCTCCACCACCGCCGGCCCTGCTACCGCACTCTCGCATTACGAGGGGGGGCTGGGTTGGGGGTAACCCCGGCACAAGACCACAAAAATGACAATATCCATCCCCAACAAGCACACCCCTCCCTCCCTCCCTCCCCCCGGTATTGTTCTCGCCGCTGACTGCAGCGAGGAAGTGCGGGGGGGTGTCTTGCGGGGTGCGCCGAGCGCACGGAACAACGCGGTTCCTTGTTTGGTCGGGGCAGGAAGAGGCACCATCGCCTCGCTCTGTTAAAAAAAAACTGAAATATGAGAGAGAAAAAAAAACCGGCAACAACAACAAATCCGCTACAAATTGGCTGCGAGCACAGCAATTTCTTTCGTGACGTTTTCGTAGAGTTGGCTGCGGACTTGGCTACGTGTGTGTGTGTGTGCGCGCGCTCGGGTCTGTACGTGTGTACGTATAGTCAGCAATATTGCATGTAGAATTATATACACACACACGCGCATCATACACGTCCGGCGAATCGCGACTACTACTATTGTTATTAATTTCTGTGTAAAACTTGAAACGCGAGCACATTTTCCATTTGGACAGGTATTTTATTAACAGTAAGGGGGGGTAGGGGGGTTGGGGTGACCACCTCTCCGTTGTTACACGGGGAGCGAGGGTTCGTGACGACCTGGCCGGGCCGAGTGATTGCCACCACCACCGCCGCCACCACCGCCACCACCGCCACCACCGCCATCACCACCGCCACCAGCGCGTTTTTAGACAATTCCGCAATAATTTCCACCGCCAAATTTTCGTTGTTGTAGTTGTCTAAAAAGCAACAATTACCGCATCAGAGATTTCGGAAACGGCGCTCCTCGTGCTCCTTAATGACATTGCAACAACAACAACCACCACCACAATCGGCACAACAACAAAGAGCTGCGTCTTCGCGTTGTTAGCTGCGCTGGCGACAGAGGGGTGCGGGCGGGGGGGTGGGGGGGGTCCGGCTTCGTGCAATCGGCCATCGGTCCCGTCGCTCGCGGGCGCGCCCGACGATGTCGTTGACGTCTCGCTGCACCTGTGCGTGATGGCAAGTAACTACCTAAACAACATCAACAACAACGACGTTACCCTACCTACTACTCGTACCTTGCGTAGGACGCTCAGAGAGCGCGGTGTATCGGCGCAAGTATTAGTAGGTGATGCTTACTCGGGGGAGGAGGGAAGGTGATGGTGGTGGGGGGTGGGGGAGGTTGAAATTGTGGCAAGCAACGTGTGATTGTCTGTTGCACCGCCGTTGTACGTAACCCCGTGCTGCCACGAAACGCGCGCGCGTGTACACAGCGGAGGTGTGGGGTTTAATGTATTTGTCGGTGTTTATTGCGATCCGCTTGGCTTCGCTCGCTCACTCTCTCTCCTCTCTCTCGCTGGCCGTCTCGAGGAGGTGAGAGAGAGAGAATGTGAGTGGGGTGAGGGGGGAGAGTGCGCGACACATCATGACGCGACCCTGGTGGAGTGGTGGGAGGTTGGGAGGCGGTGGGGGGCAAACCACGACGGTGATTCTGTGCCGTCGTGAACACGGAAGCCCGAGACGGCAGCAGCAGCAGCCCCGCGCATCGCGACCCGATCCGAGCGGGCGGTCGCGTTCTCCATGTGCGTGCGCCATGCCGTGCCGTGCGCAGCGTGCAAGGCTTTTTGCATGCTGGATTGATTCCAGATAAAACAACGTTTTTTTCCCTCGCTCTCTCTCTCTCGCTCAAGACCCACGCCAATTTCATTATATCATAGGAGCGAGGACAGACTATAAATATGTACAGACCGTAAATCCTTAAGAGAAATTCGCTGCAGATAAAAGTCGGCAAATTCGTAATCGAGCGCATATGTAGGCGGTGTACAAAAAGGTGCATAGCTGAGACGGTGGGAGTGCGTACGCGCGGGTGGTAGGTGCACGTGTACTTGTGTGGTACGTGGGTGGTAGGTGTGCACTGGTACGTGTGTGGTACACGCATGCGAACCCGCGAGCAACTCCAATCCGGGTCCTGGCTACGGCGCGGGCAGCCCTGGGACTGCCAACGTGAGTTCACGTTTGATGTAAAAAAGAATTATATTATCTTTGATTCCCCCTTTTAAAGAAAAGCCACGTAAATCTTGAGTAGTCGGCAGTCCAAGTATGTAGCGCCACAGAGTGTCTAATTTATATCTTTTTTGATATTAGGATTCTCATAAATATAGTTATTTTTTTGTTAAAACACGAAAAATATTCCGAAAGTGCTGTCTGTGCACGAGAACGACTCGAATTTCAAAGTCAACAAGTTTTGGAACCTGAACGGAGAATCGTTTTCATTATTCGTACGCCGGCTAAATGAGGTGAGGTGGCGGCGTTTCATTCGCTTATTCTTGAGATCGAGTTTTTGTTTTTAATTTTCCACGGCGCGAGTCGCCGTCTCTCCTGTGTGTGCCCCCTTTGCCCAGCCTTTGGGGTCACCCCTCTCTCTCACCTCCACTTTACGTGCACCTGTGTATGCACTCCGTCGCTCGTCTAATTAATAAGTTCATCAACGCAGTCTCTCGCAGAGGCCCCCGAACGCTCGACACGAGCGCGCGCCAATGCGACTCGAGTTCAACAACAACAACATTTTTTTTTAATAACCTCAAGCGCAAACAACATTTTGGAGAATAAAATGTAAACATTCCCTCTCCGTAAAGGCACATCTCATTACATTGCATAGTGTTCGTTATATACAAATTTAGTTTGTTTTCACCTGTCGTTGGTATTCGGCTTCGCGTCGTGCGAACGTATTTTCTTCTTCTTTTTCATCATCATCATTATTATTGTTTTGTTGTTTCAAGTCCATTTGCGTGGACGCGATTCCTTGCGAAGGGTTTATGTTTGCTGTTTTAACATCGTAACACCTCTTTTTATTGCCAGAAAGGGTAAAACCTATTCTTATGCTTAAAATCTGGCAGGAAAGGACCCATGTTGTCTTTTCTCTCGCAAGCTCTTTAACTTTTTTGTGTGTGTTGTAAATAGACGAAAACTATCCTCCGTATCTTCTGCACACCCTCGTACGGCTGCATCACCTCCGCGTTAATTTATTGCCGAGCTTAAACTTTTTTAATTACGTCTAAACCCCCCCAACCCCCCCCCCCATAATTATTAATAATAATTGATCGATGCTATTTGATGTAAATGTCGTGCAAGCGTTTTAGTGCTGTTTATTGGTGACGTCATTTCGTGTGGTTTTTTTTTTGAAGATCGATACTAGGAAACATACTTGAAGTGTAGTTGGCCGTCGCGACTGAGGTTTTCACGCCGAGGGTTAGATTCACGCTTTTGCACAATTGTTAAGTGTGGCTGTGACACTCAGGTTGAAAGCTTGCGTGTGTGTGTGCGTGCGTGTGTTGACAAAGACAAAGATCCCCCCCCCCCACATATAGCCTTCACACACTCGAGGGGCAAGTGCTGCTGTTAGTCAGCACCTAATGAAGGCCGGAACGGCGCATGACGGGCTGGGTGGCCAGAACCACGCGCGGCCTCCTGTGTCTCCCTCGTGGCGATGTTTACACACCGCGACGGGTACTCGGTTGAGGCTGAGTCGACCTAGGGGGGGGGCAGTATGGGGATCGGTGGCGCAGCGATTAACGCGCTGCGCCGTGAACCCGGCAACCCGAGTTGAATTCCCACTCACGACGGACAACACTGGCTAATGTTTGAACCGATCCTGCGCCTCCCCTAGATTGTCTCGGCCTGAAATGAGTGCCTGGTGTGTGGTGTGTAAAGATCGCCACTGGGGGAGACAAAGGAGGTCGCGCGTGGTTCTGGCGACCCACCTCCTCGTGTGCTGTTCCGGCCTTCATAGGCTCTCGCTCACAACACTTGCCCCAACAGTCTGTTAAAGGCTATATGGGAGGTCTTTGTATGTTGTGGGTAGCGTTGGCGCGCTGCGCTAAGAACCTGGCGACCCGAGTTCGATTCCCGCTCACGGCAACCAACACCCAGCGACGATTATCTGCTGAACCGGTCCTGGGCTTCCCCTAAGTTGACTCGGCCCCAAATTAGTCGCTGGTGCGGTGTGTAAACGTCGCCACGAGGGAGACAAAGGCGGTCGGGCGTGGTTTTGGCCACACTAACCCCCGTTCGTGTGCCGTGCCGGCCTTTATAGGTGCTACTCGCTCACGGCACTTTCCGCAACAAGTCTGTTAAGGCTATACGAGGAGGGAGGGATCTTTGTGTGTGTGTGTGTGGGACAGTGAGGTTTGATGTAATTAAGTTAACAAGAGGTGTGTAATTTAAAGGAAAACTTTTTGCTGGGATTAAAGGCAGTAACATCATTTTTTTGTAATTTGTAGACAGAATATTAACAACGCGTTGTAAGTAAAAAAAACAAAAAAAGTATATAAATCGTTTAAATCGAGGTTACAATGCGCATGTATTGGCGGTAGTTTGTATGGTTTTTTTGTAAGTGTAATGATATCGTCCGCTCAAATAAAACCTCCATGTGTAGCTGCCACGAGGTGGAATTCTCGATTCCTCATTATTATATATTGTTTTATATACATATATGTCTTTTTTTTTCAATAACCACAATGAAAGGTTGCGGAGCTGCAAATACATTCACGGTGTTTGTTTGTTTGGTTTGTTGCCGTTGTGTTTTTCCTTCCGTACAACGAACGCTTTGAACGAGAGCGACGCGGTGGTGTTAGAACGACGTTAGCGCACAAAGTCGTCAACGTGCACAGCCACGGTGAACCGCTCCTGTTGCTTGCTGTGACAGGGGGTTTGGTCACTCGCGCGCGAACAGCAACACACAGACACCGACTAAATATCCCCCCGCGTAGCCTTTAACAGACTGTTGGGGGTATCAGTGCTGTTAAGCGAACACATTTACAAAGCCAGCACGGTGGGGGGGGGGGGGGGGGGGTTGCCAGCAGCACGCCCGGCCGCCTTTGTCTCCCCGGTTCTGATGTTTTTGACACCTCCACGCCACACTCGCAAAACGCACGCCCACCGCCGAGCGCATGTAATTCATAAATAGTCCGAGGACACATCATGCAAGCACATGCACGTGGCTTTTCATCATGTCGCGGCGTGGTAGACGTTGTTATGAGTGTATTATGACGCGCGCGCGCACACACACACACACTGTCACACTGACACACATGCTGACACGCGCACGCATCTGCAGACGTCTGCAGTGCATTATGTCCCTCCGTCAATCAAACTGGAGGCTGATTCGCTGCACGAGTTGCACGTGTGCTGCGCGCATTCTCACGTCGTATGTGTCTCCCATCGCTATTAATTACTGGTAAAGACGTTACATAAACGCATTTGTCAATAACACCGATTCTAAAATGTATATAATAATAATAGGCGACGTTTCGCGTAACGCCCCTGCTTCGTAGCATTGCGATTACATTATCAATAAACAATGTATGGTAAATAAAATAACGACTGTTACGACCAACAGGGCATGGTGGTGGTGGTGGCGGGGGTGGGTCTTCATCCAGCAGTGGATTGACAGAGGGTTGCTTGGTGCAGCAATGTAATTGCTCAGTAGTTGAGCCGAGACTCTTTAAGTCACCCGGCCCCCCTCTCTGCACGGGGGGGGGGGGGGGGGGTGGGGGGGGATGAAGTCGAGGTGTGAGGCCGGGTGGCGCCGTCGTCGGGGATGCGAAGCGCGCTCCGAGGTCACCCGGGTGGGGGTCTCGGAGATGAGCGGCAGCGCGTGTACACAGCGCGTGTACACAGCGCGTGTATACAACACAACAACGCGTGTATACAACACAACAGCGCGTGTACACATCGCGTGTACACAACACAACCGCGCGTGTACACAACGCGTATATACAACACAACAGCGCGTGTACACAACGCGTGTATACAACTCGTGTATACAACACAACAGCGCGTGTACACAGCGCGTGTATACAACACAACAGTGCGTGTACACAGTGCGTGTATACAGCGCGCGTACACAACACAACAGCGCGTGTACACAACGCATGTATTCAACACAACAGCGCGTGTACACAGTGCGTGTACACAACGCGTGTATACCAACGCGTGTATACAACACAACAGCGCGGTACACAACGCATGCGTGCATCACACGTGTGCGTACAACGCGCGTTCGGCGCACGCGCGCACACACCAGCGCGTGCACAGCACGTGTACACAACACACACACACACCACGCGTTTACATCACGTGTACACAACACACCACGCGTTTACATTACGTGTATACAACACGCCTTAACATCACGTGTACACAACACACACACACACTACGCGTGCACAGCACGTGTACACAACACACCACGCGTTTACATTACGTGTATACAACACACCTTAACATCACGTGTACACAACACACACACACACTACGCGTGCACAGCACGTGTACACAACACACCACGCGTTTACATCACGTGTACACACAACACACCACGCGTTTACATCACGTGTACACACAACACGCGTTTACATCACGTGTACACAACACACACACCACGCGTTACCATCACGTGTACACAACACACACACAACACGCGTTTACATCACGTGTATACAACGCGAGAATTTAATACACGCACAAGAATGCATATACAGCACGTTTAGAAAACGCGCGTACACAACACACACAAAGCGTGTACACAGCACAGGCAAAACGCCTACACAACAACACTAGTGATGAACACGCGTAGAGAACACGTGCGCAGAGCACGCTCGTATACACAACACACTATGCAACGCACGCTCGCGTACAACATATGTACACATAACCGACCCGCATACACAAGCACACGGACACAACACACCTGCACGACATTCCGTACACAAATCTCCCAAGTACCACAACACGCTTGTGTACACCAGGCGTCCAAGCCACCCGCACACTGGGTGTACACGACGCACACGCGTAACACAATCACGTACACGGCACACGCATGGAGCGCTTACGCAAAACGCACACGCGTACACAGCACACTCGTGTACACAGCACACGTACACAAGCACACCAGTGTACACGTGACACACGGAGTTGGCCAAAAACAAGGCAATGCAAAAAAAAATTATCCTGAAAAAAGCAGTCGTGTTTCAAAGTAGTTACTTTTTTATATCTATATAAATGTACTAAAGGGCATTATGAATAACAATTAGAACGCACTCACACGTATATGGCACAACACTGGTACACAGCATACAAACCGACAAAAAACACACACGCACACAACACACACAACGCACACACAACACACACCAAACACACACACCCAACACACACACCAAACACAAACACACACACACACCCAACACACAACACACACAACACACACACACCCAACACACAACGCGCACGGCATGTTCACGACATACGTGTAACACAACACACTCGTACGCGAAGGGCGTATACGGAACACGCTTTGTGAAACTGCGCACACACACACACACACTCATCATAGTAGGTACACAAAAACACAACACACTGCATATTCTTAAAATGTACACACCCATTAATCCGACACGTTGCGTACACAATATTGTACACACTACACAGCGCGTGTTACAGAAGGGTACGCGACACGACCGCGTAGTACACGGCACATGTATACACAGCACGCCAACACCCTCGTACACAACACACGCACGTACAGAACACGTGCGCACACGGCAGAGAGCCGCCTTGCACGGCGACACGCACCACACTCGTGTCTTGCACCCCAAGTAAAACGTGGGCACGCTTCACGAAGCGTGCTGCGGACACGGGCGCACAAAGCGCGCACGAGACGTACACGGCCGAGTACGCATCGTGTGCACAGCATATACAACACACGTGCACAGTAAACCGACGCGCACACACACTGCGCATCACGTAACCAGCACGTGTACACAATCGGTACGCACAAGAAAAAAATCACGCAGACGATCAATACACGCGTACACAACGCGCCCACGTACGTAAACACCCATGCGCACACCGGTACAAAACTCAGCCCATGAACACAGCACACATGTACACAACACGCACATACAAAGTGTGTGTGTGTGTACAGAATACATGTACTCAACACACCCACGTATACGTCACACGTACAACACGCGCACGTACACAACACGCGCGCAACACGTGCACACACAAGAAACCTTCACAGCACACGTACACAAGATACGCATGTACACACCCACGTGCACAGCACACGGATACAGCACTCGTGCACACACAAGACACGCGTACAGAGCACACGTGCACAGCAAGCGCACAGACACGCACACACAACACATACTCGGGATATACACAATGCAGCACACAACACTCACGCCACAACATACAAAACACACGTGATCAACAATCCACGCACACGTGAACGTTACACACGTGTACACAACGCGTACACGACACACAAAGGACGCATCACACGCACTGAACCACGCGTGAACACACGACGTGTACACCACACAGGTACATCGCGCGCACCAAACAACGCGTGCACACAGCACGTAGGCACACAACACACACCAAAGACAAAGATCCCCTTGGTAGCCTTACCGAGGCTGTAGGTGCAAGTGCTGTTAGCGAGCACCTAGAAAGGCTGCGCGCACGATGGGTTTGTTTGGCCAGCACTACCGCCAGGCCGCCTTTGTCTCACTAGATACTCATTTGACGCTGAGGCGACCTAGGGGGAGGCCCAGGACCGGTTCAGATGATCACAGATGGTACACACGCACAAGCTCGCCCACGTACTCAACACGGCCCGCAGTCGGAGTTGGTAGTCGGAACGGTGACCTCACCGGGGCAGATTGGGAACCCCTCGCAGTTAGCACTACCAACACCACCACCACCATCAATAATCACCATCACACCATCAACAACACCACCACCAACACCACCACCATCATCAACAACACCACCACCAACACCATCAAGAATCACCATCACACCATCAACAACACCACCACCAACACCACCACCATCATCAACAACACCACCACCACCACCATCAAGAATCACCATCACACCACCACCATCATCAACAACACCACCACCAACACCACCACCATTATCATAATCACCATCACCACCATCACCACCATAGTCACCACCACTGTCATAATCACCATCACACCATCAACAACACCACCACCAACACCACCACCATCATCAACAACACCACCACCAACACCACCACCATAATCACCATCACCACCATAGTCACCACCACTGTCATAATCACCATCACCACCATCGTCACCAACCCCACCACCACCAACAATCACCGTCACCAACCATCGTCACCACCACCACCAACACCACCACCACCAAGAATCACCATCATACCACCATCATCAACAACCATCATAATCACCATCACCACCATAGTCACCACCATCATTATCACCACCATCGTCACCACCATCATAACCACCACCGTCACCACCGTTACCACCACCATCATAATCACCACCATAATAACGACCATCATCATCCTCGTGGTGGTGGTGGTGGAGGGGTTACCCACACGGCCGTGTCACGCATTGCGTGCTGTGCTTACCCGTGTTGAGGCATGCACGTGACCGAGTGACCTATCGGAATTGCCGCATTGATACAGAGCTCGGGGTCACGCATTGATACAGAGCTCGGGGTCACGCATTGCATCGGAGGCGAACGCACACTTTTATTTGTGCAC